GGGCTTGTGCACGGAAATTTTATGCATTTGCATTTATCTTAAGTGGGCTTCGACGTGTAAACTGATTGGAACAGTAATTTTTTAAAAAAGATCGAAATTGGCTGGGCATTAGAATTTACCTAGCTTTAAATATTAGAAAATTCAGTGAATCATGCAATAAATCTTTTGTTTTCCTAAGCTTCTTTCTTAAGCTACTCAATTTCTCTAGCTAAAAGTCTTAAAATCATTTTCCATAGTTTTGCATAATATTTACTCAACTTTTTAAGCACTTAAATCCTTTTAAGCTTGAAAAGAAAACCTCAAACTCTCTAAAATTGCACTTCAATCAGGGCATTTATCAAAAACAACAATAGCAAAGGACGGACTGCTGCGAAAGGCAAATCAGTCAAGCGCATTAAATTGTGCTATTGTTTTAGTTTAATTACATAATAATTGCCCTGTTCGTTGTTATTCATGTTTGTCTTCTGCTAATAACTGCAAGCAGCTTATGGGAAAAAGCCTCAGAAACAACAACTCCGGCAGAGCGTAATCAATGCAGGAAGAATGACCTTAGAAATTGGCTACAACGGGCGTTTCTTGGCCTGCACGAGACAGGATAAAGGATAACGGAAGGACAAAGGACCAAGACGGGCAATTATATAAGACACAGCGTGTGTGCTTATTTTGATTTAATTCCCCATTTAAGACTCTGCCAGCCCGTTATTTACATACTTGATTGGGAAAATCTTCATGTGCGTGTGGAAAGAGGAAGCGTTTACCATTTTACCTTTTCGACTTGCAGCTTCCACATGTTCCCTTTGTTTAGTTCGAGAGTGGAAAATCAAATTAGTAGCGTAGTAAAATTCATTTAAGTAAATTTGCACAAATTGCTCTTTGTTACGGCAATGACTCAGCTGAAGTCAGGTCTTTAAGGGAGGGAGAGTCCGGACAAAAGAGCTACTTTAAGATTTTCAACTGGAAATATTCTTAAAACTGGTTGGGGCAAATATTATTATTTTATCTGTCTAACAACATGTAATTGAAATTTTCGTTTATATATAATTTAATTTAAGAACAATAACTTTTTTTATACACTTTCTTAAAGACTTATACATCCCAAAAATCCAAAAGGGGTAACAAAAAACCGCAAAGTTATTTAACGACTCTGTTAACTGCTGCGTGTTAATAAGAGTGCAGTTCAAACCGCAATTCGATGTGGACAAACTTTAAGCGAGCTCTTCAACCCTTTCTTCCTGCTTGAAACTCCATTTCTGCGGCCTTTAATTTGGATGCCTGGAAACTTTGGCTTTCGGTTTTTTCTCCTACGCGTTGGCAAGTGCCGTCGCTAAAGTTGACTTTGAACACTTTTACGTTTCGCTGATTTTTCAAGAGTTTCGTTTTCCATTTTTTCGCCGTGGTTCTGGCCACATTTGACTCTGACTGGGATCTGGATCCTTGGGCTCTTTCAGCTGGTGCCGCCGCTGCTCCTTCGTCGTCACTCATTAGAAAAACGTTGCAAAAGTCGAAAAAAATGTGCACTACGTGTTGCAGGGACGCAAAAAAACGGCAATGAAAACCCTCATGTAAAGTTTGCACTGGCAAAAAGTAAGCTTGCACAGTAAGAAACAAGAAAGGAAGCTAGCTTCGGCCAGCCGAAGCTTATATACCCTTGCAGATCATTCCTATTAATTCACAAATCGCAAAAATGTTCAATTTTCTAATATTTCTCATTAATTTTCCGATCGTTCCTATGACAGCTATATGATATAGTCGTCCGATTTTGATAAAATTAAAATTGAAATTCGGAAATATTTAAAAAGAGTCATATTCTAGAGTAGAAGATAATACAATAAAAACCAAAGAAGCTAGAATTTATTTCCTATTACTTTTCCATTAATTTTCCGGTCGTTCCTATGGCAGCTATATGATATAGTAGTCCGATTTTTTAAATAATTAATTCGAAATTCAGAAATATTTAAAAAATAACATCCCCAAAAGTAGAAGGTAATATTTCAAAAAACACCGAAGCTAGAATTTTTTTAACGTTTTCTTTTCCGATCTTTCCTATGGGAGCTATAAGATATAGTTGTCCGATCCGGTTGGTTCCGACATATATACTACCTGCAATAGAAAGAAGACTTTTGGGAAAGTTTCATCCCGATAGCTCAAAAACTGAGAGACTAGTTTGCGTAGAAACAGACAGACGGACAGACGGACAGACGGACAGACGGACAGATGGACAGACGGACAGACGGACAGACGGACATGGCTAGATCGACTCGTCTTGTGATGCTGATCAAGAATATATATACTTTATGGGGTCGGAAACGTCTCCTTCACTGCGTTGCAAACTTCTGACTGAAATCATAATACCCTCTGCAAGGGTATAAAAAAAGAAATAGACGAAAAAAAAGGTAAAGAAAAGACCACGAAAAGTTTATTACAAAGTTTGGACTGAAACACGCGCCAAAGAAAGGAGAACGCAAACTAAAGTTTAATATTTGATTTAAAAGTTGATAAAATTTACTTTAGTCTGCACTCAATGCACTCAGCACGGTGTTATTTGTTTTTATTGAATTTGTTCAAATGTGTCTTGGCCAGATTCCCTTGTTCGTCCTTCGTCCTTTCTCGTCCTTTCCCGTGAGGTTTTCATTTTTTGGTTTGCCGGCTACCACGTGGATTTCTCATTTCGCCATGCAAATATGAAAAACAAATGGGGAAATGAAAGACGGACGCCGAATGACGAGAAGTCGCCGGTTCGCAACAAAAAAGGCGCTGCCCTGAAAATGGGAAAATTTTCAAATGCATTGTTTGCCGGCTTTGGAATGGAAAACACGAATAGTGCGATAAAGCGGGACAAAGCATGGGCATTGTTATGAGCCAGGATATGAATGCAGGGGCGGGAGTCGCGAAAGGGGTTACAAAACCTGGAGAAGGGAGCACTAGTTTTGGGTACCAAATGAAGTTGTAAGGGGTGGCTCTGTGGGGAAGTAGTGGACACAATAAACCAAAATTAAATGGCACAGAACGCGAAATTATTGAACAGGGAATAACAATTGAATTTCTATTTGGGTTTACATCCACTATTAATTACTTTTAAGTTTTTCTTTTCATCAATTTAAGAACCATTTTGTGAATAAAGATTTTTTAGTAGATTACAAAACATATTAAAATAAACTTAATAGTATATCATCTTATAGTTTGTTAAACTTTGCGTTTAAATTAAACATAAATTTTAAATAAATGCAAACACCAATATAATTTAGCACAGAGTATAACATTGTCCAAAAACTATATTTACTAATAAGTTGCACCTATTTCAATCGCTTAGCAAATGTGGCAGCCGCTTTTAAGCAGAGGTGAATTTAATTTGGAATTTAATTCTAGCATGCAAATATATTTTCGTGTTTTCCTGTTCCGCCTGCAGTTATTTGCATTTCCATTCGCAGTGGAAACTTGCACCTAAACGTATAAAAGTCCCCCTCACAAATTTCGCCTGCTACCTACTAATTTCGGTTATATTTTTTTTCGATTTCATTCTTTTATATTCGTCTATATTTGAACGCCCAAATTGGCAAATTGAGTTTGTTAGTCCAGGCTCCTGCTCGTCAACTATATAAATGTGTATAAAGGATACCAAATATGGCGGAATGTGCAATGCATTGCCTGGCTTCGAGCTTCTTCATCTCAAATAAACCCAATTTGGCGCCCATGTCACATACGTCAACGCGACGGGCCACGCCCACTTTTGGGGCGGCAAGTTTCGCTGGCAATTTGTCAGCTATTTTTTCCCCGCTTTTCCATTTTTCGGTTCTTGTTTTTCCCGATTCTTATATTTTCTTTTGCTGCATCACGTGCCACAGCGGCGCACGTTTAGCTGAGCTTATCATTTTCTCAAAGACTTTGTCTCTTGCCATCTCTAACTCGCAGTCCCCGTCGACTATTTAATATGCAAAACGTCAACTAACCAAAAACTGACAAAGTTGAAATAAATTTTTATTTCATGGACCCGCTTTCAGTGTCTCTGTTTATATATCGGCAATGAACTTGCCGCAGAATCAGCGCAAAACCCACGAGCCTTTTGGCTTCTAAGCTGAAAACGAAGGAGCCTAGCGAAAGCATTTCTTTTTTTGGCAATCCTCTCACGTAGCAGACAGAAAAGTAAAAGAAGAAAAAAAGGAAGGGAAATCCCCTGGAGAATCCGAGAAAAACCAAAACTTTTTAATTTTAATTTTAATTTCATAAATGCAGTGAGCTGCAGTTGCGAAAACGAAATCGTTGTCATCATCGCAATTCAATCAGAGGAACCAGAGGAGCTGCCACTGCCACCTGGCGCCAAATTGCTTAGTGCGGCGGAAATCATCATTTTCCAACTGGTAACTGAATTGCGGAGCTGCCGCCGCAGCACGGATGAAAAAGTTTGTCATACGCCCCGTGGTACGGCCAACACGGCGGATGACGGATCCACCTTTCAAATGCACGCCGCACTCAAACGAGTGAGTGTACAAGTGTGTGAGTAAGTGAGTGTGTGTTTGGGAGTGTGGAATATTTTCACGTCGAACCGGCATTTGCATATGCCGGATAATGGTCTGGCTTTAGCCGCTTTCCCACTGTTTTTCCCCAGTCCCCTTTAGTTTTTCCGTTTGTCGTGTAAAAAACAATTAACGCAAAAAACAGGGAGTGACTCATGAGCCTTTCGGATGAAATAATCAACGCTTAGATTTTTTCACGTTTTCAAGGGTATTTCACTGGTGCGGTAAATGAGCAAAATGCCAAAGGATTCCGGCTAGTCATTGCCTAATGGAAGTTTTTCCAACAGTTTTGCTGGGATGGTTAGCCACCTTTAATTCTAATTAATCGAGTTGGTTTCGTAGGGGTTTTCTTCAAACAAAATCGATTGAAAATTGAAGTGGTAAGAAATATTTGTATTGATTTTTTGCGGATTAAACTCTTTAGAGAGTTGCTTACACTCTTGATAAAATGTTCTTATTAAAAAAGGTTTTCCCCGTGTTTTAACTCACCATTTGCTGTTGACTCTTTGGCTTCTTAACCAGATCGGGCACTTTGAAGCTGGTGACCGCCTCGATGACCTCGGCCAAAAGAAGGCCATCCCGACAATCGGCCGATAGATCTGTGACCTTTCTCTTCGATTTGGCACGTTCCAAGTAATAGTTGGCCCAGTCTGTGTATATCTGCAAAAGGGTATTAAAATAGATGAATTTAAATGTTTACTAAACGGCCAACCTAATGGTCCATTCAAGTTGTAATTAAGATTTCAGCCAGGCCCCTGGTGCAGCACAAATTGCAGTCTTCTACGCAATTTGGCTATCAGGAAATCATTAGCCACCCAGCCAGCCATTCGGCCCAAAAGCAACATATGCACAAGGAGTTGAGCAAGCAAACAAATTAAAATTGAAGACATTTCCGCCCAAAGAGCCCTTGGAAGTCGTTAAGAAAATCTGTGCAACAATTTTGGCTAAACGAAAAATCCTTTTTATTTCTTTGGCAGCCCTAGTGGCCCTATCCTTATGCTTATCCTTATCCTTATCCCATTTCCATCTCCCATTCCTCGCAGTGTCCGGCAAGTTTCATTTGTTGTATTGCGACGTCCTTGGCCTGGTCTATCCCTCATCTGTCTGTCTTCCAAGATTTGGTTACATAAATTTCACTACTATGACTGCAAGTTTTGTGATTTAATGCTGAACGGGATTTGTTGCCTTATGGGGTAGTGTGAAATTTTGGTCAGTTGGGCTATTACCGTACTTCAAAACGTATGAAATATTTATTAGAATCATTTGAAACATTTTTGAAGCATATATTATGCGTAAAAATATTTCATAGAATTTAAATAATGATTTCTGAGTTTTGTAAATATTTTAAAAAAATTTAGAAAATACAAGACATATTTGGAATAGAAAGTAGTAGAAAATATTTATAAGAATCATTTTAAACATTTTTGAAGCATATATTATGGGTAGGAATATTTTCTAGAATATATATAATGATTACTGATTTTAGATAAATATATTTTAATAATAAATATTTTTTAATAAATAAATATTTTTTAAAGATAGAAAAGTACAAGACACATTTGGGATATCAAAATGCAACTAGCAGCATCTTTCCTTCGCCTAACTTCTGATCTCCAGGGTATTTGAACTTTCCTTTTGTCTCTGGCAAGGGCATTATTAGCTTTCCAGACATTGGCTGCCCTCACGTCGTTAGCCACATCCTTACATAGTTTTTATTAGCCCCCCACCGCCAGTTGGTTGTCCTAATGCGGCCCTCATCCTCCGACTTTTCTGCATATGCATGCGACACATTTTATGTTCGCCTTGCTTGGCAATAAAAATATCTTGCATTGTACTTTTGCTATCTTTTGCTATCTTTTGCCAGCCTTCTGTTTGTCTAGCTGCCATTCTGTTATTGTCCCTCGTTTCTGGTTCTGGCCCTCTACTGTTTAGCCATATTCCATTTCCGACCGAGTTGCGAGCGGGCTTTACATCTCAAAGGGGCCAGACGCAGACACAGTCACAGTCACAACAACAATGGACTTGGCCCAGGACTTTCGGCTTGCTTATGCAACTTTTTCACATTTTTCAGTTGCTTTCTTTAGGCTCGGGATTTGGCTTTGGCTTTGGCATTGGCTTTCGAAACAATAAACTGAAAACTTGTTAGTGGAAAATAGCCGGGCGAATGTCAGTGTCACCGGCTTAGAGCACATGTACTACTGCAAGGACTCCCCTCGGTGGCTGTGTGTATCTGAGAGATACTTTTGTTTATGAAGCGACATTTTTTCCATTTTCCACACTCTCGCCATGGTAACTTAAATTTAGTTTGCTTTGCTGGGCACAAAAAGCTACTCTTTCGCTAATTAATTTAGTTCCATTAGTTTGTTGTCTCTCTCTCGTTCTTTATACAAACCTCTGCATAGTCACGCGTCAGGATGCCGTTGATATTATCGCAGGAGCCTTGATAACTCACACAGCGACCCAGCATTTTTTCCTCAGTTAAAAAGGTCCACTGATTGATGGAGTTGATTATTTTTTTTTATTTACACTGTTTTACACATTTTGTTTGCATTTACAGGGAGTCATTGATCAATTGGAATGGTGAATGGCTTTAACGATTGATTTAAATATTAAATTCTAGAGCAGTGAAAATAAATAATACAAATAAAAAGTAAAATATTTAATAGATCTCCTTTAAATCATTCCCTAAAAGGTATTAACTAGACCATCTAATCTGCCTTTATAAAAGCTCTCCAACAATACCCGCATCTAACAGAACCCATTTATTATACTCCCCGTACTTATCACACATTATGCACCTTTCAACCACAGCCATGTTTATGGGTAAGCCCTCTCAACACTTTTTATTTCCTCCAGACCGTTTCATAAATATTAAATTACTTCCAACGGTTGCCCGCAAGTAAGTATGCTCCGTTGTAAAATGTATTATTATTTTCTTTTTCCATCCCCGTTAAAATGTCAATTATGATAAAGTTTTATTGAAACACCGCAGCGCTGAACACATTAAGCCTTATCAGCGGAGCCAGAAAGGAGCCAGCTTCGGTGATAATAATAATAAAAAAACATTAGGCAACATTTTCCCTTTCACTTTCACCCTTTTCAAAAGCTCTTGGCCTCTTCTGAATATACCTGGTAATTTTGGGGAGTATTGCTTTCTTGAGAAGAAAGTTAGATGCATTTAGAAGGGTTTATAAATTTTAAATTATATTTACTTTAAAATTGAAAAGAACTGTTAAAAATTCTTTATCATTAGCCAACTTTTACTGAAAACAGAAATATCAGAAATTATTAAATATTGAAACTTATTAAATATGTAATATTACAACCTCTTTAATGGGTATTTTTAATTCGTTTAATTTTCCACAAGCCCTGTACTTTCTTTATGAAATATTTTTTGAAGTTCCGTGTTGGAAATCACACGCCCACTTGGACAAACTAATTGAAAATGAAAGTGGCACCCAGAGCTGACAGAAACAGAGGCAACACCGACATCATTTTGGCCAACAACAGGTTGGCTGTTGGTCCTGAACCCGCGTTCCGGAAATGGGTTTTTGGGCCGGACCCCTTGCTACCCCGGACTTTAACGCTTTTTTGGAAGGTTGGAGAGCTTATGCATAATTGGGGCCGACACCCTTGTCAGCGACAATTCAGATTTGTGTAGGCCAAGCAATTTGGTTAGGCTGATAAATTTTAGTTTGGGGCTGAAAAGGGGTTGACAAATCGTCCAGGAAATCAATTTTGGTATTGGGCGGGTGTATGAAAAAGGTCAAAGAGCCATTTAGGAAATGAAAAACCAGCCACGCCCACCATCTGAAGTCTCTTATCTAGTGTGTGAACACTTTTCGAGGGTTGAGTGGTGGGTTTCGCTTGAACTTTTGGCCCCGAGTACTTTACGTTACTTTCTGTGAAATGTCAGTGAAATGTCAGAATAAAAGTAATGCTGATAAAAATTTTATAGCTTGTCAGAAATGTGCAAAAAAAAGAAACGAAAACGAAAACAAAATGTAACCGCCCCCGAGGGGTTGCTGTCGCTTTCCCTGTTCCTTCTGTTCTTTATCAAAAATGTCGCGACTTTGGTACTTTAGTTTATTGGAATTTGCATGGCAGTAGCAAAGGCAACGCGACAGGTGATTTTTAGGGTGTGGTGGGAGTTTCACATCAAATTTATGTTAAATCGAACGCCCATAAATGGTGTCTGCTGGCTGTTAAATAACTCCATCGTTGTGTTGCCTGTGCCCAAGTGAGTTTCGGTTATCTCGCAGTTAACAGTCGCTTTAAGCCGCTTTAAGGATTGGCCAAAAGCCTGTGAATGTGAACTCAGGTGTGTCAGCTCTTTGCACTCGGGTGTAATTTTAACTCAATTCGGCTTTGGAAAATTGATTTCTTACAGTTCGGTTCATAAATTTATGCTTGGGAATATTATATACAATAAAAAATTCTATATATTCTGAAAATATAAATTAAATATTTTATGTTAAACTAAAAATAAATTTAATATTTTTTCCAAACAAAAATATAAAAATACAATAAAAAATAAAATATAAAAAGTTTTAAAGATTTGAACCGCAGTGTATATGGGCTTTCAATATTAAGCATCTCCGATTCGTTGTACCTGGAAAATCGAATAGGCTCAATGGCATCCAATGACAACCTGTTGCCAGCCTCTTTGATAATGGAGCTTCCCACATCCCCCCTTCCCTGCCCTGCTGCATTCCACCCAGGAATATGAGAAAAAGCCACCCCAGTATACGGCTTTGTAGTCACCATCCCCGACTAACCTCATTAAATTGGATTGTATTATCGGCTTTTATCGCATTTGACCCAACAGTTTCAGGCATCTACACCTCCACCTCCACCGCCGCACGGAACTCAATTTGCCCAAACTCGATGAAAGCCTGAGAAGAAGAAATCAAATCACAGGCGATTGACATTTGAAAGTAATGTCAAAACAATCTCGGACACCTTTTGCCCGGCAACAGTGACTTGGTTGGTTGGGAAGGGAAAGGAAAGGACGGCAAGTGGACTGATTGGGCAAATGTGTTGATGTGCCCAATCAACTGAGTTTCATATCAAAGTCAAAGGCAAGTCCGTTGACATTGCCAAGAGCTGGAGAGGTGGAATGGGAGCTCGAAATATGACATCATTTAAGATGGGTCAATCGCATGAAAGGGCCATAAAACGTCTTCAAGCGATAAACTCAGTTCTAGTGCTTTAAAGTGAGTTTACAGATTGCAGCCTATAAAAGCCATAAACTTCTGTGTTGTTTTTTTATGAACTATAAAGAATTTACAGAGTGATAGTCTGATTTTATACACCCACTTGAAAACCATTTAAACAAATTTAGCTATTAATGAAAAACTAGTCATTCAATAAATTAGGAAATAAAATGAATATTTTTACTAACTTTGTGATAAAAATAATTTAATTAAAAATCGAGGTGCATAGATTTTATTCCAGGAGCCTTATTTACATATTTACCATCCAAATAATGTAAAACGTTATAAATACAAAAGACAATATCTGCCGGCCAGAGTTTCTGTTATTTAATACATGTAATGCAATAAATTCTCTTTCTAGTGCCAATTACTTTTCGTACCCAGTTTTTTCAATTTCGAATGCACAATTTAAAACAAATAGGCAATTCGAATGTTTTATGACAC